GTCCCATTTCTGTCTGTATGGACAGCCCCTCTTTGAAAAGCTGGGTCGTGCAACCCATACTATTTTTTAATCTGTCTACTTTGCACTTAGCGTACTGTGAACATCTTTCTCAGAAATTAAATCCTTTGGATCATCTTTGGACTGTTCTATTAAATGAAGGTGCTGTTATTTGTTTCACAAAGACTGTAAATGTGAAAATTGTTTACAATTTTCCTTGTTACTATCAGCATCTGCGTGTAAGTGTTTATAGCTAATTTTTTTGCACATGCCCTCCTTTATTTTCTCAGAATGAATTCTGCGTGGTGAAATCACGGAGTCAAAATTACAGATCTTTTTAAGGCTTTGACACAGGGGGCCCAATTTTCTCCCGAAGGTTTCGCTCCTTTTCAATTCCGTCAGTGCCTCATGAACTAAACAATTTCTCCCAAGGTCTCCTATCAGTATTGTTACATATTTATTGTTACATCTGTAAGCTAAGTTTATACTGGCCTTTCAGATTGGCCTGTTTGTTAATATTGTCAGTGATACTTCAGTGTAACGAGTTTCCCTTTTGCCTCTTTTCCTTCTATATTAATTTGAACTATCTCTCTCTCTCTCTCTTTTTTTTTTTTGAGATTTTATTTATTTATTTGACAAAGGGAGATCACAAGTAGGCAGAGAGGCAGGCAGATGGGGGTGGAGGTGGGATGCAGGCTCCCCACTGGGCGGAGAGACTGATGCAGGGCTCCATCCCAGGACCCTGGGATCATGACCTGAGCCGAAGGCAGAGGCTTTAACCCACTGAACCACCCAGGCGCCCCGAACTATCTCTTTATATATGAAGAACATTATCATTCTCGTCCGTCCTGTGGGTTACAAATATTTTCCTGGTTTTTTACTCACACGGCAGCTTGAAAACTTGGTCTCACAGAAAAATGAGTCTGGTGACTTAAAGTCTCTGCTTTTGTTCTGCCTAAGAAAGCCCTTCCTTACCATTAGATTTTAAAAAGACTCTCCTGTTACTTAACCTAGTACCTTATAGTTTGGTTTTAAAAATATTTAAATCTTTATTCAAATGAGTTGCCTCTAGGACACAATGGAGCTGATAAAGGGCAGGTTTCAAATTTTACTTTGAGATACTTCTGCAATACTGGTCTTTAGATTTTGTACAATGAGCAAGCACTACTTTGTCATTCGAATAATTATGAAAAACGTATCACCACTTGGGCTTTTATTCTGAAATCTGATAGGAAGGAATCTAACTTCTGTTGGTTCTCTAAATGGTTCCTCAGATGTCCCTACACCTGTTATTTGACATGGAGCTGAGATCCGTAAGACATGGAGGAGGGAACTGGGTGAGAAAGGCAGGAAGGACATGCCACGGAGGAGATGGTGTGTTCAGACAGGTGAAAAAAGTAGACGGTGGGTTCAGGGAATTCCAGGTCAATCCAGGCGACTCGAGTAAAAGGTGCAGATAGAGTCCTCTCAAATTTGCAGGGGGGGGCGGGGATAGAAGAATATATATATTTTTTAAATTCAGAATTCAAGAATTTACATTATCATGACTTGCGACACTGGTCCCCACTTCCTAGAACTCATTAACTCTTTAAACATTTGCTATATTTGCTTGGTCTTCTGCTCATAGAGAAATAAAACATTAAGAGGAAGTTCAGGTTCCCATCAATGATCATTTCCCGTTCTATTCTCTCTTCCTGTGTTCATGTACGTGGTACATTCCCACTTACGTTCCAGTAAGTCACACCTATGGCTGTGTGGGTGTATTAAGATTACATTTGGCCACAAGTAAAAAGAAATCCTCAAGTAAAGGGAAGAGGGTTCTTTAAAGATAAATATTTGTTTCTCTCTCATACATAACTCTTGATAGAGAGTCCAGACCTGATGTGGCTTCTTCATGATTCAAGAACCTGGCTTCCTTCTATTGTATAGCTCCTCCATACATGGATTCCATTCTCAAATTTATTTCTTGGTCCAAGATGGCTGTTCTAGCTCCTGCCATCATATCCACATTCCAGCCAATAGAAAGGATAGGAAGAATAGAGAAGAAATATAAAAAGGAAGAGAAGAAGCTGTTGGGGGCTGAACTGTGTCTACTAAAAAGATATGTTGAAGTCCTAACCCTCAGTATCTATCAATGTGACCTTAGTTGGGAATGGGGTTTTTGCAAACGTAATCAAGATGAATTACTGTGGGTCCCAGTCCAACACAACCAGTGTCCTCATAAAAAAGAGGACAGACGGATTTAGACCCACAGGGAAGAATGTCACGTGAAGACAGAGGCCGATATTGGAATGCTGTATCTCTAACCCAAGGAAGACCAAGGATTGCCAGCAATGCCAGAAGCTAGGTCTTCCCTGGGACCACCAAGAGAGCACAGCCATGCTGGTAAGACTTCTGGTCTCCAGAGCAGTAAGAAAATAGATTTCTGTTGCTTAAAGCCACTAGACTCCATTCATGCTACTTTGTTACGGCAGCCCTGGGAAACCTGATACATAAAGCCAAGGGGAAGACAGCGGGGAGTAAAAGTGCTCAAAGTTAATCAGCTACCCTTACAGAAGATTCCTAGAAGCTGCCACATCCCCACGCTCACATGCCACCGAAAGTAGTCAGACACGGTCCCAGCTCCCTGCAAGGACATCTTTATTCTGAATTCCCTGTGCCCAACACACGTGTTTCTCACAATGGGCGGAGAAAAGGAAGAATAGTGATCTTTCTAAAAATTCGGATAAATGGCATCAACGATGGTGCTCCTTTTGCAATTAAAAAAAAAAATCACTTGTTTGAAAGATTTATCCAGGTTGAAATGTGCAGTTCTAAATCACTATGTTTAAAAGTGATATACTAGTCTACCTTGAGAATTTACCACCACTTATATTCTGAATAGGATAACGTTGTTTCCACTTTTTTTTCTCTTATAAACGTTGCCGCAGTAAATGCTGTACTACCTCCATAAGCATCTATGGGGGAATTTCCCTAAAGCATATACTTACAGGTAGAAGGTCTAAGTGACAGCATCTCTACATTTGCAATTTTTAAAGATATTTCTAAATTGTTTTTTCCAAGTTGTTGTGCCCGTATATACCCTCTCCTGCCATACAACTCATTTTACTACCAACATTTGATTTTACTGGTCTTTTCGTTTTTTCCAAAATTATACATGAAATAATTAAAATGTACCCATTTTAAATAAGTCTCAACAAATGTATACCCGCATGTAAATACTGCCACAATCAAGACACAGAAAATTTCGGTCACATGAAGTAATCCCTTCATGCCCTGTAAACAGTCTGAAGCCAAAAGATTTGAAACATATAGATGAAATGCAAATATTTCTTTAAAAACAACTTAGCAAAACTGACATAAAAACAGCAGAAAATCTGAATATTCCTTTAGCTACTAAAGAAATTGTATCTGCAGTTACAACCCCTCCCTCCTGCATGCCCATGTACACACACACACTCACTATCCCTGCCCAAATGAATTTACTAGTGAATTCTTTTGAGTTAAGGAGGGGGAAAAAAAAAACAACCAACAACACCAATCTAACAAAATTCTGAAATTCAAAACAATCTCATTCAAAATCCCAGCAGGTTTTTTTTGGTCATTGTGGAAAGTGACTGCAGGATTCTAAAATGCATATGGAAATGCAAAGGGTCAACCAAGGAAAGATAATCTTGAACAAGAACAAAGTCGGAGGAAAGCTGTTGGGGGGCGTTAGTAATGCTCTGTGCCTGGGTCAGGCGGTGCTCTCAAGGGATCCTCACGTGATTAAAAATTCAATGAGCTGTTGGCTTGAGGTTTATGCACGTTGCTCTGTGTGTGTTATATGTTCATAAAATGGCTTTGGAAAATGGATGGGCGGTATCTAGCAGTGAATGTGGGCGCAGCCCAGGACCCTTCAACCAAGCTGCTAAGCATCCACTCAATGATGAGTAAATGTATATATTAATAAATGAGATATACAGTCAACAATTTGAAATAACTCAAGTCCTAGGGACCCATCATCTTCAGGCAAGTTGCTTTAACTCTTTGAGTTTCAATTTCCGTGTCTGTAAAACGGAGATCCTGGGGCGCCTGGGTGGCTCAGTGGGTTAAGCCGCTGCCTTCGGCTCAGGTCATGATCTCAGGGTCCTGGGATCGAGTCCCACATTGGGCTCTCTGCTCAGCAGGGAGCCTGTTTCCCTCTCTCTCTCTCTCTGCCTGCCTCTCCATCTACTTGTGATCTCTCTCTGTCAAATAAATAAATAAAAAAACAAAACAAAACAAAAAAAAAACGGAGATCCTAACCCCTACAGCTACCTGGCGGGATGGTGACCAGGCAAGGAAAGCGGTCAAGACTAGCATCTAACGTTCAGTACAAGCTCGATACATGATTGCTGATATTTTCATTGGACTTTTAAATACAGATGCCATCATCTGCCCTAATAAAGTACAAGACCCCTCCTCCACGGCTCCTACAAGCCCCAGACTTCTTCCAACCACAATGTCCACCTTATGTTTACTGAATGAGACAGCTAGGGTGGGAAAGGTTATTCTACTTGAAAAACCTCAACCTAGGTCTGCATCAAAGTTCCTGGTGACCTAAATGGGGAAGGAGGGGTACTGTGGGGCTCCCTCTCCTCTCCCTTGTCTGAGACCACGGTACCCCTATTTGCTCAGCAAAGGCTTCAGGTCGCACCCCATGCTCCCTCCTCCCCCAGAATCGCCAGCCATCAGTGAGCTGCCTCTGCTGAGTTCACTCCATCTGGAATCCTCTGGGAAAACAGACACGGATTGTGTACACCGCAGAATTAGCCTTTATATTTCATTGTGTGTCTGTTGAGGCGGCGGTGAACCAGGTGTGGTTTTCGGCAGACCTGACTTCAAAAGCCGTAAACACACTTATCAGTAAACTGCAGAACATGAGGCAGCCGGCAACAGTCAAGGTCACTGACAGGTGACATGGCAAATAAAGGGAGATTAAAAGCCATGCCTTGTCTGACATGGGCCCATTTGATACTTACCAATGGCAGGACATGGAACAGTGCTCGCTCTTGATGGGAAGTCATTGAACGTACTGTAATTTCTTGGAAAGTGAGTCCCTGTCATTTTTCTCTAGGGGGAAAAAAAGGAAAAGAAGTAAAACAAAACACAACACAGGTAAGCTCTCTGCTGCTGGTCTAGATGTTTTCATTTATGTATTACTAACCTTTATTAAGAGTTTGCCATCGGCCAGATTTTCTGCTAAGGGTTCCTACCCTTTTGGTCCCCAGTCTGACCATCTTTACCCTCATTTTTTTTAAAGATTTTATTTATTTATTTGACAGACAGAGATCACAAGTAGGCAGAGAGGCAGGCAGAGAAGAGAGGAAGGGGGAAGCAGGCTCCCCTGCTGAGCAGAGAGCCTGATGTGGGGCTCGATCCCAGGACCCTGGGATCATGACCTGAGCCGATGGCAGAGGCTTTAGCCCACTGAGCCACCCAGGCGCCCCACTTTATCCTCATTTTAATAATCATTCTCTCTTCCCAGGAGGGGAAACTGAGACCCGGGAGATTTACGGTAACCTTCCCAAGACAGTCCGTGACCAGCCAGGACTGGAACCCAGAGATTACGACACTGACGCACGATGACAGAGATTTACTCTGGGTGAAGGTGAGAGTGTATTAGGAGGAGATCCAGATGGCTTGGCTTTCTGGCAATAGGAACAATTGGCATGCACACTGAGTCCTACCTATTTTTTGGGACACCATCCTTTTCTGCAGTCAAGAAACGTGCACTCTAAAGAATTGCTAGAAATGGTCATTTGCATGCCAGAGCGGCAGAACCAACATCCCCCGATGCTGCATCTTTGTGGCATAAGGAGGATTTCCATAAATCAAGCTTTCTTCTATCCCAAATAACACTTACGTATGCCAGGGAAACGCGCTATTTTGAAAAAGCCTATTCACGAGGCAACTTTTGCTTTTCACCCATTTTTATTTATTTATTATTAAGTCTATTTATTTATTTTTTTATTTATTATTTATTATTAAGTCTATTTATTATTAAGTGCAGATTAAAAAAAACAGTTTGAAAATCAGGTTTAAACTACAGGGCACATCCACTGAGAATAAAGCAAATTAAAATGCTATGATTCTCCAAATATTTGGTGTCTTAAATAAGTTTGTCCCAGACAGACGTAAGCTACAGTCACCACTTCCTTCGAGTTTTAAATGTTATTTGGTCTAAGCTGCCATCCTAAGTCCTAAGAGCCTAACATCCTCCCAAGATTTTTGTGAAATCATCACAGTTTATGTTCCTCTTGAGTACGTCTGCCTGTACGTCCCTGCCCCCCCCCTTACTCTCCCTGTCACGCACATTTTATCACTCGAGGCTGTTCTCTTCTCTCTGCACTGTATGGACCCAGGGAATCACAGCTCCCTTTCCTGCTGTTCCTTAACATGCCTGTCATTGTCAACACTTTGAGCTGACCAAGAGGAGTCCTACCACAGCAGTGCCAATACCTTAGAATTAGCCAATAGATATCTCACGTCTACTTGACCCCTAACTCAACTTCTACCTCCCACTTCCAGAACTGACAGAATAAGCGCTATTCCAGCCGCTGTGGATCCTCAAGGCTCCTCAGTCCTGCCAAACTCACTCCTAACCCAGGGCCTTTGCACTTGCCAGACGATTGTCCCTCAAATAGCCTCAAGATTGCTCTGTCACTTCCATCATGTCTGTGTACAATGTTACTGTATCAGAGACACCTTCCTGATCATTCCTCATACACACATCTTGATCTTCCTTTCCTCCTCTGTCTCTGGAACTCTCATCGACACCTACCATATTGCATATTTTTTTGCTCACTTTTTAAAAATCTGTCTCTGTTGCCAGAATTCATGTCCCATTAAGGGTGGTGATTTTGCCTACTGAGTTCTCTCCTGCATCCCCAGCATCTAGAACGGAGGAGTACATAGTGGGGGATCAATGCAGTGTGTTGATGGAGTAAAAGAATCCGTAAACACACTTTCTATTTAGTTAAAGTGTTCTTTCCAGGAGCCATGTCAACACGATCACCTCGAAGTATAATTAAGTAATTAGGGTGATATTTTGCCAGTACAGAGAAAGCACCACAAGGACAATGTTATAGTGGAAGAGAACTCAGGATCTGGGCTAGAATCCAAAGGCTTCTACAAAAAAAAAAAAAAAAAAAAAGAAAGAAAGAAAGAAAACAAACAAAAAAAATAAATTGTCTCATTAATAATTTTAGATTGGTTAGAGGTTGAACCTCTATGAAAACCTAAATGGAAACTAGAAGTCAGCCACTTAACTGATGGAGCCACCCAGGTGCCCCTCACTTTGCTTTTTCACGCAGCTATTAGAAAATTTCAGATGACATTGTGCAGGGGCTCCTGGGTGGCATAGTCGGTTCAATCTCTGACTCTTGGTTTCGGTTCAGGTGGTGACCTCACGGTCTTGAGATGGAGCCCCACAACGGAGTCTGCCCGAGGTTCTCTCTCCCTGTCTCTCCACCCTCTTGCTCATCTAAAATAAATAAATAAAATCTTTAAAAACAAATAAATACATTACATATGTGGCTCATATTCTACTACAGTTGGACAGCACTGTTCCAGATTCTCACTCTCCTCTTACACACATATACATGTATCTATTGTTTATTAAAATATAGGAACACTGCACAGACTGTCTCACACACCTGCTATTTTCACGTAACAATTTACCAGGAACATTCCTGCGTGTCAGGAAATTAGATTCTCATCGTTATTTTTAAGGGCTCTGGGGTATAACACTAAGTGCCTCGGAGTTTATTGAACCTGTAATAGAAATTTTCTAGGCTACTTCGTCTTTTCCTTTTCTTCTCTTCCCTCTTTCTCTTCTCTTTTTCTCTGTGTTATTGGTATAGAGTGTCCTGTGACAAGTTGCATTACAAGAAGCCATGTGTACATGCCCTGTTGCTTCCCTAGGATAAATTCCTAAAATATATTTAGGATTCGTGGGAACCAAGTAAGTGACAAGAGCCTTGGACCGGCCACTTTATGAACTGGGGATAATATGAGGTAGAGCAGTAGGGTGATTTCTAAAGCCTTTGACCAATGGTTTCAAGGTTCAGGCGCACATGGCCCCAGGACACAAGAGACAGTGTAACGGGGGGTTGGATATATAGGGCCTTGGAGACAGACAAGCCAGGTTCTGATCCCAATTCTCTGTCACTTCTAACCGTGTGACTTTCAGCCATTTCTGTAACCTCCCTGAGCCTTGGTCCCCATACCTAAGAAACAGGAGTATTAATTATAACTCCCATATAAAATCTCTTAAGGACTGAATGAGATGCCAGTGTAATTATTCAGTATGGTGCCTGGCTCTTGGCAAATCTTTTGGTGATTATTAACATCTCTGAGATCTTGTTTGGCGCTGCCAATCAACACACACACACACACACACACACACACACAGATTTCTGCATTTTTATCATACTCTCCCCCTCTCTCAACGACTTTTTTCAAATAGGGGTCTATTTGCTAAAATAAATTGAAATGGGTAAAGAGTATGAGGCACAATTTATACTAGATATATCTGCAATTACTAACTCTGAATTAAACATATCCCTTCATGAATAATGAAGCAGAAACAGGCCAAAGGAAAAATGAGATAAGATCTTAAATCCATGTATTTTTAATTGCTTCATTATCTAAATTTTGCTATGAATAGCAGTGGATACAGTTTGCTGTTTAAAGCGCAAAAAGAAATAAGAATTTTCAGCCAAATCACAAAAGGCTATCAAAAATTAATTCTGTATGCTGTGATCATTGAAAAATGTAAGTGATTTTGAGGCAGAGTGACATTAAAAAATACCATTTATATGCTAATAATAAATGTATTTTCTTCATTTTGATGCAAAATAAATTTTATTTTCATTTTAATGAACTGTAATGAATTATAAGCTTTCTCTTTTTATCTTTGGGTAAAAGTTTGGGACAGATAGCAGAAGGTTGGCACATGACAGGCAAAAGGTCTGAGAGGGAATGGAAAAGGGACAGGTCCTGTCAGCTGGTACTGACCTCCTAAACTGCATGGGAACCTTTGGAGTTGAGGTGGTTTTCTTTAGGTTTCTAGAAATTTCCAAATGTCAGATTTACCTCAGAGGCGGCAAACTAACCATCAGTGCCATATTAGGAAAGGGTATCTACGAACTCTATTGAATGAATCATCTTTTATTTCTCACATGGAGCAAAAGCCACACTCTGGAATTTGAAAGAAGAGCACAGAGACGCGACTGTTGGCATAAGTATCTCTCGCTGAAGGATATTTTTCAACAATCATACTCATTCTTGGCCGAACCCTTACTCTTGTCTGGTACTTGGCTAAGTATTCGATCCATTCTTCTATCTAATCTTCATGAGGGCTCTAAGCAGGTAGTCTTATTATAATCCTCAGCCTACAGATGAGACACTTAGAACCCAAAGGAAGTAACCAACATCACAGATTGTTAGTTGTGGAGTTTAGATGCGAACTCGTATCTGTCCATGAGTCAAGTGCCATACATTTACTTATGTATGATGTTGACTCCCTTTTAAAAAGAGGAAATCAGATGGTAATGTTTAAGCCGAGTAAATGAATTGCGAATGGTAAAATTTCAGGCATCTGTGAGAAAAAAGATGCTTGTCACAGGGGCAAAGGGGAAGAATGACACTGGGGTGTCCTGGGATGTCACTGTCCATTCTGCCTCCAGGAGGAAGGAACTTGCTGGGGACCTCACCTATGTCCTGGCTACGGTTAAAGCCCAATTAGTTACTTAACCATATCGGAAAGGATGGAGTACGTGAGACTTCCACACGTGCATGTCGGGGCCACGGTGGAAAACACCCAGAGCCCTACTTGGTGGAGAGACCATTCATTCTTCCTTGAGGGTCTGCCATTATTCTCAGATATCTGACTTCTTTGAAGCGAGAAGCTAAGTTTCCAAATTCATTTCTGTGTTCCCCTCATCCCTTACTCTAAGATCACAGACTGCCTTTGCTGACTTGGTTGTTGCTGTTAATTCCCTTTAACCAGGGTCTCTTTAAATGGGACCTTGTGAGTTATGGAGCAGTAATTCACCCCTTCAGATCTA